CGCGGTGGCGGGGCGCGGGGCGGGGCGGGGCGGGGCTGCCGCGATACGGAGGAGCAGGCCGCCAGGCCGCCGCAGCTGAGCGGCAAGGAAGGGAACTCGGCGACACCGAAAGCTGCTCTTGGGAGGAGCCCAGCCCAGCCGAGGACGGCGACGTGGAGGCCGTGGGGAGGTCGGGGCCGCCCGCGCGCGCGCCCCTGAGAGAGAGAGAGATGGAGAGAGAGGGAGAGAGAGATCTTCCTGCGCCGTGACCGCTGGGCTGTCCGCTGTCCGGCCGCGCGCCCTCCCCCGCCCCCGCCCCACTGCTGCTGGCCGGACATGGTGACAGGCGGGACCGCTGGCCGCCCCCGGGCCCGACTATGGCCCTGCCGGCCAAATTGACGTGTTGCTCCCAGCGCGTTGTACACAGCAGCGCCGGGGGTCCCACCGACGACCCTCCGCGCCGCCATGCTCCGCCGCCACTCGGCTCTCGTGACAAGGGACACGTCCAGGGCGGCCCGCGCCCTGCCTGACGCTATGTCCGCCGAGCCCGGCCACCGGCGCCATTGGCCGTCATCGGCGATGTGCGAAAAGTGGGGGTGGTAGAGTTATTGTTTTCTTTTTTTGTTCACAACTTTGCTTTTTTCCTCCCTCCCTTTTCATCACCCCCCGCCCCCGGGAGGTTGTGCCACTTTTCCGCGTCCATTTCTTCCTCATAATAAGGGCAAAAGCGTCCCGCCCTTCAACGAGATGGGTTCCGCTCGCCGCTGCTGCCGGCTGCTGCTGCACCAGTGCCACCAGTGACTGCCTGGCTGACGAAGGCCAGGCTGTCAGCCGCTCACTGGAAAAGCAGAAAAAGGTGTGACTGCACATCTCTAACAAAAAAAAAAGCGAGTGCAAAATAGAGAGCCTCTGCTGCAAAAAAAGAGCTCAAAAGGCACTAGCAGAGACGCTAGAAATTAGCACATTTAAACGGTGTCTTTGTTTTTTCCAGTGCCGGAGTCTTTCAGCATCTCATTCGCCTTTTCTGACACCGTGTTACGAAGAGCGGCGAAAAATATGTCAAGAAAAACGAGCTAATTATTCATTTAGAAAGGAAAGAGGTGCAATGTGCAACCTGCAGTGACGGCCTGCTCGGCCGGAAGAACCCCTTCCGTCCCCCCTAAATGCGAGCCGCTCATGTCTCCGCCGTACTCTCACTGTTGGCTACAAACTAACGTGTACACTCTTCCTCTTGTCGGCTCGCCCCGCGGTCCTTGTCACACTCCCCGCAGGCCCTGCAGCGGCCGGAGAGCGCGTCAGTGCGCGGGGTGCGGCGGCGGCGCGGGCGGCGCGCGCGCGGGGGGTGTGGGGGCGAGACAACAACATGCTCATGAGAAATGCATGCTTCATTATCATAGCGAATGCTCGCCTCCCCGCTGATTGGCTCCGTATAGACAGACAGGTCTGCTGCTGCCGCTGATGATGATGATGATGATGGTGGTGATGCTGGCGTTAGTCTGGTCACCGACTGATGTGCGGTGAAAGTGCCGGAGGGTGATAATGTGTGTGGGACGGGTGATAATACCAGGTGGCTGACTCACACATAGGGGGCACTTTCGTAGTTGTACTGACTGTTGCCGCAAGCGTGTGAGCGGGTCACCTACTCGCACGGGGCCATCAGGAGTCGTGTGCAGTGAGGATAGGGGATCGTCCACAAAGTACGTCCAAAGTGCCTCTCAAAATCGTCCTGCAAACTACAGAAGCTCGGCGCCTGCAAAACGCGGCGTAGGCCACCCCGCAATACACGCATGAACTGCATGCAAGATTGTGCCTACCCATCAGGCGCCATGAGCGCTTGCATTGCCTTAATTTGGAGGGTTCGTAACGGCGAATGACGGACGTACTTTCTGGATGATCCCTAGGCAAACTCGCCCACACCTTTGCATACGGTGCAGTGTAACTCTTAAAATGCGCGGCGTGAATCAGCCACCCGGTAGTGAGGAGAGGTACACGAGCTAATCCGGTATCGCCCCCCC